ACCCCAAAGCCACGAATGATCTCTCCCAGCGGCTTCACATAAATATTGAACAGGAGTGGAGAGAGGACCGACCCTTGTGGCACCCCACAAGTTAGGGGCCTTGGGGTCGACCTCTGTCCCCCTGCCAATACGGACTGCGTACGATCGGTGAGGAAGGAGGAGAACCACCGCATAACCGTGCCTCCCACTCCCAACCCACTATCTATCTATCTATCTATCTATCTATCTATCTATCTATCTATCTATCTATCTATCTATCTATCTATCTATCTATCTATCTATCTATCATCTCTCTATGTATCTCATCTATCTCATCTATCTATCTATCATCTATCTCATTATCTATCATCTCTCTCTATCTCATATCTATCATCTATCTATCTATCATCTCTCTATCTCATATCTATATCTATCTATCATCTCTCTATCTCATATCTATCTATCATCTATCTATCTATCTATCTATCTATCTATCTATCTATCTATCTATCTATCTATCTATCTATCTATCATCTCTCTATCTCATATCTATCTATCTATCTATCTATCTATCTATCTATCTATCTATCTATCTATCTATCTATCTATCTATCTAGTCCCGCCTTAAGCATGAAAGCTGGCTGGGTGATTTTGGGCCAATCACCAGGAGACGGTGAGTTCTAGTCCCGCTTTAGGCATGAAAGCTGGCTGGGTGACACAGGCCTGGGGACCCCAGAGGGACACGGAGCCCACAAAATGGTGATTGTTGTCACCCTGAGGAGGGTGTATCTGTGTGAGACACTCACTGTGAGTATGTTGGGCAGCCACATAAATTTCCTTAATGAATAATAAATATTGAGTCACAGTTACCGTTGTCTTTACATCCAACAACAAAGCCGGGGACAGTCAATTAGCACGCCAGAGAACTTTTTCACCAACATGACTATGTAGTAACTCAGATGTCTATCATCCTAAACCCGTGCATCTGGGTTTTGTTTTTCCTAGTTTAGGCATAAATTGGCCCCCGTTTTGGTGAAATTTCATTCTTTCACCCGATCAAAACAATTTTTGAATTTTGTGTCCGCTGCGTAGGGTTTGTCAAGCTTCATAGCTTTAAGAGGCGTGGACTTCAACTCCCAGAATTCCCCAGCCAGCACATCAGATTTCTGTCTAATTGTCAGGGCATCCAGCCCACCTTTAACTTGATATTAGGTGAGCTTGAAGAGAATATTTGTGGGGTTGAACTGTGGGGTCCTGGGTGCTCTCTGAGCTGGGTGGTTTTCTTGCAGACGTTTCAGGACCGAACTAGGGAAAATCATCAGTGCCAAGAGGGAATGGAGTTTACTTAGAGGAGGAGGAGGAGGAGGAGGAGAAGGAGGAGGAGGAGGACGACGACGACGACGACTGCGGGGTCCTTGGTGCTCTCTGAGCTTTGTGGTTTTCTTGCAGATGTTTCATGACCCAACTAGGGAACATCATCAGTGCTAGAAGGGAGGAGGAGGAGGAGGAGGAGGAGGAGGAGGAGGAGGAATGTGGGGTCCTTGGTGTTCTCTGACTTGGTGGTTTCCTTGCAGACGTTTCATTACCCAATTAGGGAACATCATCAGTGCTAGAAGGGAGGAGGAGGAGGAGGAGGAGAATTGTGGGGTCCTTGATGTTCTCTGAGAACCCAATTTATCTTGTCATGGGTTAATTTTTCCTTTTGCTGACGTCAAGGTATATTACGTCTACCGCATTCCCACTATCTACTAAGAAAGTTACCCAATCAAGAAAAAAAAAAACAAACGCGTTCCAGGCAATTATGAACATCCGAGTCGGCTTCCGGGTCGATCC